TTGCACTGAGGGCTCTTGTTGATTTGCTGGCCCGCCTTCACTTAGGGCGGGCACGAGGCTTGCTGGGGCCTTAGCCCAGAACATGTACATCATGGGAAGGCCCCTTCTTGAGGGCTCAATCCTCACATTCCCTCCCCCTTAGCTTCGAAAGTCCGCTGAGATGCTTACTTCGCAGGTGCCTTCCCTTTCAGCTTCCTTTCATACTCTGCCACCACTTGAGGAGTTGTCTCAATCAGTTCCTCCCTGGTGAACCATCGATCTTCCTTTGGATCTACGTGATGCCTGAATCTGACGCGATATTCTCTCTTGGGCTTAGGAGGTCTTCCTCGACCCAGCGACTTTGCAACAAGCATGTCCCTATGATCCACAATGTCGTCGATGTCGACTTCTCCATCCATGGTTGGGGGCAGCATAGATCTCCTGGAAGGGAATTGATCAGTCTCAGCAAAAGGTGCAAGATTTGAGGCATGAAAGACTGGGTGAGTGCGTAGGTGTGTAGGGACACGAATGACATATGTGGGACAATCCAACTCATCTCCCACTATATCCAAGACTTCCCAGGGACCAAAGTACTGAGGCATTGGTTTGCGAGATACTCCGAACTCCTGTCCTAACTCACTAGCCTTGACCCAGACACGTTCCCCTACCTGAAATGTGGACCGTCTGCGATGTTGTTTCTCAGAAGCAATCATGGCTTGCTGAACCTTCTTCATATGTTCAACAGCCTCTCGCAACAACTTCTCATATTGCACACCGTATTCAAGTGTGCCTGGAGTTGCAACGGGTCGGTTTTCAGGCAGGAGGAAGTCTAGTGCTGATCTAGGCTTCCATCCTAAGTGCAGCTGGTTAGGACTAACGCCGGTACTGCTATGTATAGCATTGTTGTACAGGCTGGCGATGCGAGGTAACTGCTCATCCCAGTCATCCTGGCTGGGCTTCATGAAATGCCTCAGCAAGTGCTGTACAACTCTATTCATTTGTTCGGCCTGTCCGTTGGCTTCRGGATGATTCCCTGAAGTCATTTGAAGTTGACTGCCCATCTGTTCCGCAGTCTTCTTCCACAGCTCACTTGTGAATCGGACGTCTCGGTCACTAATGATGGTCTTTGGTAAACCAAAGTCCCTTACCCAGTTGTCCTCGAACTCAAGCACCGCTAGGGTGTCCATGAAATCCATGGAAACACTCAATCCTGGACCATCAGGAATAAGTTAAGGTTTCAACAACCCAAGCGGTGCTTGAGTTCGCGGCTTGTCCCGCTGACAGACCTGACAGGTCTCTACGTACTTCTTTGCGTCATCTAACATTCCTGGCCACCAAAATCGTTGTACTAGGTTAGCACTCGTCTTCTTGTAGCCAAAGTGCCCAGTTGCGTCATGGCATTCGCCTAAAAACAAACTACGCAAACGCTCACTAGATGGAACTACTAATCTCTTTATTCCGGCCTTACCAAGATAGAGTAACCTGTCCACCATCACAAACTCACTTTCCGTGGCCTTGTCTTTTGCATGAAGTTTGCGCATGATGTCCATCATGATAGAGTCTTCCTGATAGGCTCCCACCAATGATTGAGTTACTTCATTAGATACGCCAAATTCAGAAACTAGCGCACCTAGGTAGTCTGCTCTACGGGATAGCGCATCAGCAACCTTGTTATACTCTCCCTTCAGGTACTCAAGCTTGAAGTCATATTGATCTATGACCTCAATCCATCGCTTGAGTGCATCAGAAAGAGCCGGTTGAGTCTTGATCCATTTGAGGGTCTKATGATCAGTCCTCARRTAGAAGAACCTTCCCAAAAGGAAGTGTYTCCAATGGAYAAGTGCCTTGTAGAGAGCATAAAGTTCCCTTTCATAGGTGGACTTAGCCAACTTCTTTGATGGCATCTTCTTACTCATGTACTCAATCGGTCTCAACTTTTTCCCATCCTGCTGAGCCAACACTGCGCCAATGTCGTATTGGCTTGCGCCAGTGGCCACTATGAATGGCTTTTGCGGATCGGGAAGCATGAGGACCTCATGATTCATGAGTGCATGCTTCAATCTCTTGAAAGCACCCTCGCACTCATCACTCCAGTCCCACGGTGTGTCAAGTCGAGTTAAATCAGTCAAAGAAGAGGCGACTGTAGAATAGTTCTTTACGAAGTTTCTATAGTAGCCGCACATTCCTAAGAATGACCTGACCTCAGTGACTGTCTGAGGTCGTGGTCAGTCTTGAATGCTAGCCACCTTCGCATTTTCCGGCCTAATCCCCTCCGCGGATACTTCATGACCCAAGTATAGTGTCTTAGTGCGGCCAAACTCACACTTCTTTAAGTTGACCTTATACTTGCGCTGTCGCAGGAGTGAGAGTACCTTCTCAACATGTTGTGCGTGCTCCTCGACAGACTTACTGAAGATCAGATGTCGTCTAAGTAGACCACGACAAACTTATCTCAATGGTCATGGAAGATCCGATTCATAGTGTGCTGGAACGTACCCGACGCATTACAAAGACCAAAGGGCATCACTACAAACTCATACAGACCGTATCTGGTCTGAAAGACTGTCTTGTGCTGGTCTTCAGGTCTTATTGCGATCTGATGATATCCGGATTTCAAGTCTATCTTTGTATAGTACTTGCATCCCTGCACCCTATCCAATAGGTCATCTATGCGGGGTAGAGGTTCCGCGTTTTTCACAGTGATGGCATTGAGGCCTCTATAATCAATGCACATCCTCAAAGTACCCCCCTTCTTCGATACGAATAGCACGGGTGATCCGTAAGGGGAAGTACTACGCCGAATCCATCCCTTCTCTGTCAGCTCCTTGAGTTGCTTCCGAAGTTCATCTAACTCGGCAGGGGTCATCCTATAGATCATTCCCTTTGGGGTCTTACTCGCTTGAATGATTTCTATAGCGTGGACGACTTCCCTATCAACAACTCCTGAGGGTTCCTCGAACAGATCGGGGAACTTAGCAACGACGTGTTCTATCTCTGGGGGTGTTTTAACGGCCTCCCCCTTCTTAGAGACATAAACAAGGTACATACCCTCCTCTTTGTTTTGCTTATAGTAATTATAGAACGCTGATGCGCACAAGCAGCCATAGGTATCTATAATACTGCTGGCCTTGAACTTGGTCAGTCTGACAGTTCGGCCATTGGGGAACTTGTGTTTGAGCACCTTCTTATCCCAGTCAAACTGGGGCTTAGCAACTTCGAGGTAGTACATGCCTAAAAGTATATCGAATGGCAAGTCGTCACTAACCAAGAACGAGATCTTATGGTTAAGCTCACCTCCTCCATAGGAGAAGGTACAAACTACGTCCTTGATGTAGTCTGTTACTATCATGCGCTCCTTGTTGGCCAAAGTAGATGCTACGGGTCTACTAAGGTGCCTTACCCGGTCCTGTAGGTGCAACCTTTCCAAACTGTCGCGACTTATGTAATTCCGTGTGGATCCGATGTCTATGAAGACACCACATTTGCGCCCTCCTACATCCAACTCCACCACGAAATGTTCCCCTCTAGGACCCTTCTTTAACGCCACCCAAGACCACTCGCCTTCTAAGTCTTCTAAGGCTTCAGACAAATCCCACGTACAAAGCATAGTGTGGTCTGGATGAGTCTGCGGGGTGACTAAGGAGTCGTTAGCTTCGGCCTTGTCATGAAGTGGGGAGGGTATCAAGCCCACCTCATCTTGAGTAAAAGTTGCTAAATCTTCCACTGACCCTACGCGTTTCCCGAGTTAGAAGCCTGGGAATAAGATGCCCCAATCTTGGGTGCCACCTTTTGCATAACCTTCGCGTTCTAGCACTTGTACTGCGAGTGTCTGTATTCCCCGCAGTTGATACAAGCGCCACGCGATTGGCGGTCACGCCACACGTCTTGGTCAAGACCCGCCTTCACCCACTCAGCCACTTTGGTCTGATTGGAGGCGGCCTTTCCCTGACTCTTAGGTTGACCCTTCCCTCGGCCACCTGCCTTAGTCTTTACTACCGCGGTAAGGGTGCTACCCTCAGCTACCTCCTCGCCGTCATACTCTGAATAGTCCACCAGGTCAGAGAGCTCGTCGATTTCTGTTTGAGTTCCATCAGACTCAACCATCATCAACTTAGCCCCCTTCTTCTTCCACTCCTGGGGACTCTTCTTCTTCTTTGAGTCAATCTGTGAGGTGGGTTGAGCATTGCCCTGGGTGGCCTCCAAGTCTAAAGCCTTCCTAGACAATGACTCAAATGAGTGGTACTCTGTGCGTGCCTCGCTAGCTAGTAAGTTCCTGATGTTCTCTGGAAGACATCTGACAAACGTTGTCAACAGGAACTGGTCGCTGTAGTTGATACCTGGAACGAGGATCAGACTCTCGACGGTAGTCGTAAGCTCTCTAACCGACTTGAACTTACGTTGGTCTAGTTTGTTGATGGCATCAGTGGCCCTCTGCGCCTCCTGTGGGTTATGCCGTCGAGCTTCTACCATCTCCATGAACTGGTCTAACGTTAGAGTCTTAGCCCAATCCGCCATGCGTCGCCTGTACCCGGCCTTTACAACTACTCCATCTAGCCACTTGGCTGCCTTACGCTCAAGGTAAGATGCCGCAGTAACCACCTCATCCTCAAGCAAGATCCGTTTTGCCCTCACCCAAACCGGGACCGTTCTCAACCATGTGTTGAGTTCCTCGTCCTTTCCCTCGCCTGTAAAGGCTACCGGCGGTTTCATTGGGGTTTTGGGATACTATTGACCTTGCTGCTGTCCAGCTTGCTGAACAGATTGTTGCGGTTGTGTAGCAACCACCGTTGGACCCGAAGAAGAAGACGCAACAGTCTCTGAGACTGCTGCAGACATACCAATAGGTTGTGTACCAGCTTGAACTGGAAAGGGGCCTGACATCGCCGATAACGGTAACGACGATTGTGCTGGTGGCCGGAATCCTGGCCTTGTCAAAATGTCCAGGATCTGGTCCAAAGTGCTTTGCATGAAGTCCAACCTGCTGTCAACGTGCGCATGCAATGACAGCATGTTGTTCCTCAACACTTTCATAAGCTCGTTCATTCTAGAGTCGTCCATGCCCTTTAACTCAGCCTTGTCAGCCGCTAACGTCTCATGCCTGGCTGTTCTATTCTTTATCTCTCTTTCTCTATCGGTCGCTTCTTTTAGTTCCCTCTCTAATTGTGCACGAATCCTTTCGACCTGTTGGAGCCCCCTCATCTCCCTTTCGCGAGGAGTCAACGGGCTGAACTGCGAGCCCGCGCATTTGACTTGTAGAATGTCTAGAACCTGATGAACCGGAAGTGTCCGTGGACCCTGTTGGCATTCCCAACTGAGGTCCAGATGAGTTCATAACAGAAACTGCAGCCGAAGATGTTGCTGTAGAAGACATGGCTAATGCCCTGGCTGCTGCTGCAGCCTGTTCCCTTGCTGCAACGTTTGCTGCTTCCCTCGATGTTGCGAGAGCACAGACTCTGTGTTCGGCACGAAGCCATCTTTCTTCTCCCTCGTCTAGGGTCCTGAACACGTACGGGATCCTAATTGATCTTGCACGTGTTAGTCTAGCATCGTCAACTCCCTCCCCGCCGACATCTGATCCGTTCATGAATTAGGCAAACATTGTCTGCACTAGAATCCCCTAGTGGAATCCTACCGCAGCATGTGTCTGACCGGCACCTAATTTTCTATAAATGGTTGTGTCCAGCAAGTCCCCTATTGTACCGATCAAGTGGTATGTCTACAACATTCACACAGATTGTCTACATAGTCTAGATGCACTTTGACTAGTTCACTTACAGCAGCACTAGATAGAATTGGCTATGGTAGTATACTTCAGTCCTACTCTAGTCTGTCTGTGAGGTGTTAGCAGTCTGTCCACCAACTAATCAATAGTACAAATTGACCATGTAGCGGATGTATGATTGATGGGTATGGTTGTGTATACAGTTGAGCACCAATTGGAACCTACCCTTCCCCCCAATCCAACCATCCGGACAGCATCTTGAGCAAAAGCAGTGTTTTCGTATGTGTATCGGCCCACCCCTGTGCCCAAGTCAAAGCCGAGCAAGCCAACCAGTCCACTCTTATTTACCCTCGTACGGAAACGAGCCTTACTGTCCATGTGATCTGGCTGATCAAGAGGGATTTATAGAGCGCCCCATCTCTTCAGGAATTCTTTAACGTCGCAGTCAGGACGACGATCAAAGCCAGATTCACAATGAACACCCAACCAGAAATGTTTATAGACGGTCTGGTAAGCGTCTCTAAAAGGTTGGCACACCCGGCAAGACTTCTACTGAGCGCAGCAAGTGCCAGACAGGACAGCAGCCATCGCATGCGTGCTCTCCTCCCTGAGGGTTGGCATGGTGATCGTGACCCAATGCTTCGACCAGGGCCCTTCAGAGGCACCGCCCTTTCTCCTTCCAGATGCTTCCGGGAAGATTGTCGTCTCTCAAGGAAGCGCGCTCATGACACCTCACCAAGGAGAGGAATCTCAAGTTGGACTCACTTCCTCATGGTAAGAAGAGATTGAGAGGGTAGATAAGGTAAGGGATCAACATACCTGGAGATAGCTGCCCCCAACCACAGATTTTCTCACCAATTAAGCTGATGTTACATTTGATGACCGGTCATGACTTCCGTACCACCCACAACGCAATGCAGTGCCACCTTAGTCCAATGTCACATCAGCATGCTCTCATCATCAATCAAACATTCCGCCTGTCACCACGGCTAATAATGCCTTCTGTAGCCTTCCGGTGCACCCCTCTCTACCCAGGGCGTGCACCTATCGTGGCCTGACGTCACAAGTGCCCACTGCGAAGAAGCATCATCAACGCACCAAGTCTGTATAACGCCAGCGTGCCAACGCACCATTTGAATATGGACAAAGCACAGAAATCCAGATTGCAAATTCACACTGAAGTCCAAGTAGTCAAAGCCAGAGCAGATAGTACAATCGAACCGAGTAACCATCCAATTGAGAACAATACAGAAGTATCGTGAGTCAATGTCCATGCCCAACAGGGCAACACCAACAGCATACCCCAATGTAG